CCGTGAATACTTCAAAACTGAAGTGTTTCTAGAAAAACAAACAAAAAAATTGTATAAAAATATATTCTTGGTGTTTTTGTTGAGACCAATTCCTGTTTCACATATTGTGTACAATAAAGTTTCAAAGCTCACCAAATTCTTTTTTTTCTGGAATTGTTTTCTCACCATATCCTTTGCTTTTTTGTTTTCGTTCAATACAAGTTTCCGAACATCCTCTGGCCTGGAAGAAATTACCATTCTTGAGATGTTATGAACTTTTAAGAGTTGACTTTTTCATCACACACAGGTGTAACAGACCCACTAAATCATTCCATTTACTCAAAACATACAGAAATATGCATATATGTTTTACTTAATGTTGAATCACAACCTGGAAATTAATTAGGTTTTGAGTTCCAGTGGAACTGCTTGATCATCACATGCTGGTACAATGTGCAGCACATTTTTTAAACAATCAAAAATCAAGAAAATCTTAAGCATGCATACCCACCCCACTCCTCAAAAATTACATTTGTGCAGCAAAAAAGGTACAGGTGTATTTCAAAGTGTTTATTCCTACTTGGTCTTAATTAAATTTATATTAAATTTATTTAATGTGGCAAATCCTGTGAGTTCAGATCTGTTTTTCAAAGGACGCCTGAAACTGAAGGCTGCCTGAACATGCATGTAGTATGTGTACTTGGATAAAATCCAGAACTCTCTTGCTGTGAGCCAAAAGTACTAACCACTAAGCCAACATTTTCTCTTTCATTCCTCAAAAAAAAAAAACTTCAGGCTGAAAGAGTATTGCTAGTACTAAGCAATATTTACACACTTTTACTNAGTAAACACAAACTTATGACAAAGTATTAGCGCCACACAACAAGATTTTTATACTATTATTACGAGAAAAATAGTCACACTATGAGAAAAAAGTCATAATCTTACATGTCCATTTTCCGTTCTTGATTTTTTACTCGTTTCCTTACCATTTTCCTAACACCTGCTGTGGACAGCCATATGTGTGTCTCTGTGTTTATGAAGAAGTCCCCAATGACTTTTGGGTCACTGATAGTTTAATATATGCTTTCATCCAATTTACCTGATGACTAAATCTGTCAATGCAGCCATTAGTTAGACTACAATACAGCTTCAATTTATCATATAGTTGCTTGCACAATTATTTCAAAGTCCTGCTACTGATAAGTTGATACTAATGAGCTAAAAGATTAAGTAGGCCTATTTCTTTGAACCAATAGAACAACTTCACAAATTGCTCAACAATCTGCTTTTTTGTACAAAAGTTATAGTAAGACTTTAATCTAATATTATGACTTTAATATCCAAATATCATGACTTTTCTCATAATATTATGACTTTAGTCTCTTAATATTACAACTTTATCATCCTAATAATATTACTTTTTTCTCAAAACATTATGACTTTATTTTCATACAAATTTTTTCTTGTATTGTTACGAATATTATGACTTTATTCCCATAATTTAAAAAATGTAAATAATCTTCTTGTGTGGCCCTTACTTCATCATACAAACTAACCTTATGCCATCTAGTAAAGCATTTTGTAACAATAAAAAGCAGATGATTTTACTTGATCTTACCATGTTCCTCAGACTGGCCCCTTGAATCAAAGACAGTATCCCACAAGCTCCAGACACATAGTTTAAAGCTTCTGAGTGATCATCATTGAGATTACGCAAAATATCCTGAAGCATGGGTATTTCTGTAAAATAATAATTTCATTTCTTCAATAATTTTCTTTAATCAAAACGTTTTCGTAGAGAATATGACTTAACTCACCAGTCTCTTCTGGACTTAGATGTGTCTTTGCTTGAAACCATTTGGAGCTCACCGTGAATACTTCAAAACTGAAGTGTTTCTAGAAAAACAAACAAAAAAATTGTATAAAAATATATTCACAGTGTTTTTGTTGAGACCAATTCTTGTTTCACATATTGTGTACGATAAAGTTTCAAAGCTCACCAAATTCTTTTTTTCCTGGAATTGTTTTCTCACCATATCCTTTGCTTTTTTGTTTTTGTTCAATACAAGTTTCCGAACATCCTCTGGCC